AAAGAATATGGCTTTTTCTCTAGCCATTTTAAAGAAAGAGAAAAAAGAAAATGTTTACACAGTAAACCTCCATGCTTCAGAGGAGGAGGTATCTGCCAGAGGGATCCTCGACTTTTTAAAGAACACTCACCTAAGGCCAAAGTCATAGCAGAAACGTTGTTTTGGATCTGATGGTCTAAGAATGCGAAAGCCAAGGTTCGTAGGAAAAGATATTAATCTTTTATTAAACTAACTCATACTACTGAAAAAAACAAAAAGAACCCAGAGAGGGTTTGTGTGTCTAAAATTCATTCTTTTTTTCCCCTCCAACAATATCGTATGTTCTAATAAAAGATATTACTTCTTCCTGCAAACCTTGTCTCTCCCAAATCCAGACAATGCTCCAGAGTGGTGAGGACACAGAAGCAGGGAGCTTTTTTTGTTATTATGTTTAGCTCTGTGTTGCTAGAAATAGAAACATATTTTCAGAGCCCTTTGCAAATCCTGCATGTGTCTTTTTTTTGACAAGCAGGTGTCCTCTGCATGATGAACTGTGACCTGGAGTACACTCAGGACAGACCTCTGGGAAAGGACGGAGCTAAATCCCCTGGAGGTTTCAAGCCCAGCCCAGGATTTGGGGCAGGATGCCAGAAGGGTAGGACATAAGAGACCTGGGCAGAGGGATGTCTTAATGAGGTTTAATGCCTGCATAAATCCTTCCTCTACTTGACATGTGTCTTCACTGCTGGGTTCCCACCCATGTCAGGACATTACCTTGGAAGTTATTAAGGACTGTTGACTATGATTTAAGACTGTATTCTCTTCTAAAGATGAAGAAATACTGCCCTTTCCCTGGGCAGCTGCCACATGATTTTGTTTTCGAATGGAATTACACATTTTGGGGCAAGAAAGGAAAATGATCTGGATTTTACTGGAGCACAGGTGAGTTCAGAGCCACAGAAGGGCTCTGGGAGCAACCAAACCCCAGTCTGCTGGGTGAAAAAGCAGTCAGGGGTTCTAAGCCCAGCCCCGATGATGCCCCCAGCTCTGGACAAACCCCGTGACAGCCTCCAGCTCCCCAGGCACCGTCTGCCCGACTCGCTGCAGACTCCATGCCACACTCAGCTTGGCTGAGGCACAACGTCCCCGACCTGCAGCATCCCACCACCTGCTGTCACAGTCCTGAGTCATACCTAAAAAAAATCGCCTACTCACACTTTTTTTTTTTCAAGAAAACAACAAGGAAAACAAAATCCACCCAAATCTTTCTCTCCAATACGGATATATTCCATCCTGCCTTCCCACAGAGACCCACACCAAAGATTGCACAGCACATTACACAACACTTCGCAGAAATGCTTCTTCAGCATCCCCGCCTTTACTCTTCACACAGATGCTGGGCTACTTCTCCCCATCTCCCCAGTCCCTCCACTTTCCTCTGCTTTCAAATCAGATGCTGTTTCACCTCTCCCCACCACCTACACCTCCACAACCATCTTCTCTCCATCCTGTCTTGTTGAAAGAAGGTTTAAAGGCACCAGCTGACGGGATCCCTCTGTGATGCACAAGGAAAAGGACACATCTGTCTTCAGGCAGAACATGGAGAGCCTTGTGGAGAGGGGAAACAAGCCTCTCTGCTGCTTTTGTTACACAAATGTTTGTTTTCTGTATCCAAATGTGTAACAGGAAATTAAGCAGTTCACCTTTGTTAAAGCACTTTTGCATCCCACAAATGCAGGAGCCAGATGGTGTTCTTTCTTTGTTTTAAAAGATTAAAAATGGGAAAGAAAGGAAATGGCTAGGAGCTAATTCTCAGCCTGGAACACACATATCTACATGCCCAGTTATCCATGCTCATGGGGCCTGGGCAGGAGCAAACACGGGGACCCAGCAGACTGAAGTGAGTCTGCTTGCAGAGAGCTCCAGTTCTGTCACTTTGAGTCAGCTTCGAGGTGGAATCCTTCACTGTGTTCCCAGAAAATGAGAAATTACGGTATTCTCCCGGGGCTGCAGCTTGGACACACCAAGCAATATTTTCTAGAAACCACCTGAAGCAGAACTTTGCTCCAGGTCTTACTGGTGGGAATGGCAGGCTGTCGACAGGAGAGAGCTGCTGTGCACAAACACTGACAATCAGACTTGGGAATATCACCAGGCAGGCTGTAGATGTGACCAGGGACAGCACCAAAGAGTTTCAAAGTTAAACTCTTCAACCACATCTCCACCTTCCATAGGTGAGACCCAGGAGCAGTTTGGTTCTCACACTTGAGCTCATTTGCTCTCTGTCTGCATCCATTCAGAAGCCCTCACTTAAGGGTGCCTTGGTGGATTTTATGATAGGTCTGTGCACTCGAAAGGATTGTCTCAGAAGCCTTGAAGAGCCAGTTTTCATGCAAGGGATGTTAGGAATGAAAATTGCGAGGAAGACAGAGCACAAACACACAACTGTTGTGAAGCCATATAGTTTTTCTCACCTACGTTTGCAGGAGAAAGAGCATGCTGCTTCTTACCAGAGTTAAAGTCTAATACAGTCAATTCACACGAGCCCCATGTGGCTTCATTAATGTTACAACCAGCTTTCTGTTCAAAGGGTTGACTACTCTTGTTCATAGGGAACTTAGAAGTGCAGGTTGCTATGTAGAAACCAAATAGATTTCCCAGTCCAGAGACAGCAAGGCTCACACCAGTTCTTGCAGAGAATGAATGCAGCGGTGCTGTGCAAAGGCAGAGGGAGAGGAGAGGACAGGTACGAGATAGCAGTGGATGGGGAAGGACAGAGACTGTCACATAACCGTGAGTGCACCAGAAGGATGAATAATGACATCAGCTGCATGTGCTCTCCCAGTAAACATGTCCTATAAGGTAGTGATTAGAGAAGGAGACTGAGAAATGAACTGATCTGGGTTCTTCTCATATGCTGGGAGTAGTGTGGCTGGGTTGTGGCTGGAGGAAGGATGAAGGACACTTGGCTCCTGGACTTCTGCTCCTTGCTGGAGGGAATATATGGCCTGGATGGGCTTCCCAGCTCTGCCACTGAATCCTGATTTGGCCTTGGGCAAGTCATGTAAACCCTCTGCTCCTCATGCCACCAATGTAAATATGGGCAATCAAAACCTTAATTTGCTAGGACCCCTCTTTGGACTGTAACAGGAAAAGGTCTCCCTGCATGCAGAGCATGGACTTACTGATCAAGAGTTTTAAAAGTACCAAAAGTCAGTGAAAACAGAGAAAGGAAAATCAACTGAGAACAAAAGGTCTGAAGCTCAACTCTTGCTCTGGTAAACAGGTGATAACTAGTTATTGCTTTGGTCATGCATGGCAATTTGTGTTAGCAGAGAAAACTCCACTAGAAAAGCCTTACGACACTGCACGAGGTAGCACGGAGCAATCCTCAGCAAAGCATTTTGCACAGACAGGATGAGGTCTACAGGACACCACCACAGAGAAGACAAAAAATCCCACAACACTGAACTGGCCCACAGAGATCTTCTCACGTCTCACTTTTTGGAGGCCCTCCCAGCCTTCACATGGCAATAGCAGCAAATTCTCCTATTGCAGAGAGACTTGGTGCTGCAGGAACACAAGCTTGGCTGGGATTGTCTCCAGCAGTGTGACTCTGACTGTGGTTGAGGTAGGTCTAACATGGCAGAAGAAAAGGAGCCAGGCAAGAACGTGGGTAATCACACAGGCTGCTTCTCATCCTCCCCTGCATCTTCTCTTCCCTACTCGCTACTTCCTGAAGTTTCTGCAGTGATGGGACTGTCGCCACCTCTCTTCCCTCATCACCGCCCAGTAACTGCACCGAGACCTTTTCCCAACATGGCTTTTGTGCTGCACAGTGAAGATTCGTTCCCTCACCGGTAATTAAACTCAGTGATAAGCCAATGTCCTGGGCTGGGAGAGGTGATATGTCACAGCAAAAATCTGATCACATTTTTTCCTCCTCCCCAACGCAGTAACTCCACTTGGCAACTGCTTATCACATAAAGAAAACCTTCTGAATCAGATCAAGACCATAGGTCAACCCTTTCTCGGGTAGCTGATAGAAATCATCCAAAGCCAAACATCCATGTTGTAACCAGAAATAAACCAGCCTTAGTCCAAGCATCAGGCTAGAAACCACTGCTCCTTAGCCTGAAAAGCCCTTCCCTGCTGATGGATGGCTCAGCGACAAACGCCTGCTCCAGTGTGTTTCAAACTCTGCACATCACAGCTTCTCCTGTAGCTGAGGAAGGGTGAGAAAGACGCTGTCCCCCCAGGGAGGCTGCCATCCTTGGCAGATAGGGCAGTGCAGACAGGTACAAAGGGAGTGTTCAAGACAAGGGGACAGCACGAGCACAAATCACAGAAGAAAAGGCTGGAAAGGTATTCCTGACTCATTGAGTCCATCCCCAGAGACGAGTGCAGGATTAGCCTCTGCACTAAACCCAGGCATTTTTATCTAGTTGCTTCCTGAACTTCTTTAATGACAGGCCCTCAGCAACCTACCTCTGGCAAATTATTCCATTGTCTAAATGATGACCCTGCTGGAAAAAAGTGTTTTGAGGTCAAACCTAAATTGCCTATTATTTCCTCCTCCATATTTTATGCACTTATCAGTCAGTCCTCCAGTTGCCTTTTCTCTAGGTCCCTGTATTAAGTTTCTTTAATCTAACACCAGAGTTCACAGCCTGTAGTCTTTGTCATTTCTTTTGATTACCTTTAATTTATCAGTCTTCAAAAAAGAGGGAGAAAAAATAGGAAGGAAGTGAGAATGGGATTCAGAGCCATCCCAAAGCATGTGATTGTGTGTTGGGGTATCACAGAGAGCTCTGTGTGTAGGCATCTGCATGGATGTCTGAACTACAAGCACGCCCAGGACTGAAAAGGAGTGAGGCCAGTGTTTGATCGACATCCGTGTGCATGTTTCAGTGAGGAAATAACCAAGGAAGTGAGCCCAAGTGCTCCAAAAACTGATTTATTGTAACATTTCCTAGCCTCCCTTTGCTCTGAGCATCAGACTGCTGCTGGAGCTGCCTTACCCTGTAGTAATCAGTGCTGTAGACATCTCTTGACATCCCAAAGTCTCCAATCTTCACCAGCAGGTTGGCTCCGACCAAGCAGTTCCTGGTGGCCAGGTCTCTATGGACAAAGTGCTGGGAGGCAAGGTACACCATTCCAGAGGCGATCTGGCTAGCGATGTGGAGCATCTGGGATAGCCCTAGCTCCCCTTTGGCTTGTCGAGGCTGCCCATCCACGAGGATCATAGCATCTGGGCCATGTGCCCTATAGGGAGGAAGAAGCAAAAAGCATAGAGTTGGGTCTCAAAAGTGACCAGGAGATAGGAATCCCACACGGTCGCTGTTCCTGCTGGGGTAGGGACTAGCCCCCAACTCTGCACTGTGAGGATGTACACACAGCTCCAGTGGAAAGAAAAAAAGAAAAGCTTAAGAGAATAGGAGGTTGGGGGAACATTTGGTGGGTGAGAGGGTGCCATACATCCTTCTCCTATCCTTAATCTTCTGCAAGCAACCTTTTACAGCCACAGATGGAGACAGACTGCCAGGACAGAGGGACCATTGGCTTGATGCAACATGGACATTGTTCTCTCGCAAGACCTATGCAAAACTAATGAGCCTCCAGATATTTACATGTGTGCTCCTGTTAATTCTTACACCTTGGAAACCTTAACAGAGGTAGAGATATCGCCCCCTTTTCTTCCACAGCCATCATATTCTTGCTCCCTAGTCTATTAATCCCAAACAGCCTCCTCTATTTCCTCCAAACACCATATCACCAAACAACCTCCCCCTGATCAATACCAATACAGCCAGAGATCACATAAAAGATTTCAGAGGAACACCAGCAGCTTCATCCCTGGAAAATACTTTTTATACCCTAAGCTATTCCAGAGGTAACACAGGTAACTGTAAACTGTGAAGGCACGAGCAGAGGTACAAAAGTTAGACCTGGATGTCAGCAGATGCAGAGAACATCCTGGGCAACAAAAGGAAATATTTTGCTGAACCAAGTGCATTGTAAATGCAGGACTGAAGGTCAGTCTCATTCTTGTTCTGTCCCCTCTTTAGTCCCCTCCCTCGCTGTGCACCAAGCCTGTCTTTGTGACGTCTCTTCCCCTGGTAGAGCTCACCCTGTGGTAGCCTGTGTGAAGGCGGAATAACAAAAGGCCTCATATTTAGGGAAAGCAAGAGATTTTGCTGTGACCTTCCTCCTTGTGACTAAGATACAGTACACCGTTTCCTCTGAGGCTTTCATACTGTTCTCTTTGAAATGATTCTTGGCATTTCACCCCCTTCATCAGCAGTAACCCCACAGAGAGCTAGCAAACTGAAACTGCACATACAGAGCTTTTCCTCCTTCTTGACGTGGGGCTGAACAACCTACAAGATCCAAACTGTTTCCCTCCTTTGTCTCTGTTCCCTAATTGCTCTGTTGGGCTTGAGGATGCACCAAAGGGATTAGCATCCAGGCATTTGGGGCTCAAACGATAGTTTTTCAAATGCCCTCATCTTCAGCTACCTCCTGATGCCCTACCACTGGAAACATGGCTCTGAAGGTCCCCTCCTGGTAGAAAGGACAGCTGGAAGAGGAGAGCAACTCCAGAAATGAGCGCTGACGAGTCAGGAGTGGTTTTTGGGAGCCACAAGTGGGTGATGCTGCAGTGAATGGGGGATGAGCTGGCTGGGAGCAGCACTGCAGGCGGCAGGGGGGGAATCTTGAAGGCTCGCAGGCATGGCGAGAGCAGCAGCACACTGGAAGAACTGCTGGGGGCAAGGAGGAGCTGCAGAAGAGTGTATGCAGAAATGACTGCCTGATGTCTTATTTAAACAGCCCACAGATGGGTTTAGCCTAGGAAATCACCTGGTGGTGACAACAGATGTTGACAGCAGGTGAAGCTGAGCCTGGACTGAGTAGGTTAGCTAAAAACAGCAAAGCAGGACAAACAATAGCTTCTAAAACTGTGCCGGATGGTTTGTGCCAGTCATGCCTTGCAGTTACACCATATTTAGCTGCAGCTGATACCTGTTGTCATCAAAGGTAAACATTCCTAGGTGAGAAGTGAAGGATATATTACTATCTCATTACTGCCACCACCTTTTTCAAATACAATAATGGCCCCCAAATAAATGTCTGTGTCTGAAGGGAACAGGTGATGTTTAAAAAATGGTCAGCCAACACCTTTATTTCATTGGCCCTTTTTACATCCTACTATATAGGACACATCTCAGTATGTCCTATATAATACATACACCTCCCTCCCTCCCTTTCTCCATCCCATGTAGGTATAGTCCAGAAGAAAGACGTGTCAACACATTTATGAGATTAACAGGAGGGATATTGCTACATTTTGTTGCATCAAGAAGCCTGCAGGGAATACAAGAGGGGTCTGCTTATCTCTTCTTGGGGAAAGGGGTTTAATTCTGGCCTTTACAGTAAGGCCAGAAGATTGGGTGGATTCCTTGTTAAAGAACAGTTGGTGGTTTTTTCTGTTATGGAGTGATGGAGGCTTTTGCCAACATGGGGAAGAAAATCACCCCTCTGGCTTCCTCTGCTGAAGTGCCTCCTTCTGTCCCAAGAGAGTCCGACTCGGGGGGCTGCTCCACAGGAAGGACTGACACAAAAACATCAGAACTGTGCAACTTTTCTAACAAAATCTGCTGCCTTTCTGAGTTAACAGCAAATGGCAACAACTTACTAGAGACTGCAAAGAGGGTTTGTAATGGCAACATGCAAACATCCCTACTTCCAATTTGCTGCTGCCACAGACAGAAAACAAAGGCTAGAAAATCAGTGACAGAAGGAAAGGGAGGAAGCGATGGAGATATTCGGTGAGCAGAGAGGGATGGCGGTTGCTGCAGACCCCGGAGCAGCGGGTCTGTGTGCCCGGGAGCTCCCAGCCTTGCCACGCACACACCGGGCGGGCAGTCTGCAGCCCCCGTGTACACCAGCCCTAGGGATGCCGTGCTCCCTGGAGAGCAATGCCTGTATTTCTCCACGGCAGGATCTTTTCACTATCCCTTTTCTATTAGCCAGGACACCACAATTGCAGTCTCCCCTGGTGCAGAGCGCAGGGTAAGTTGTTGCACGACCAGTGATGGTCTTACACGCAGGGGCCCTGGGAGGCGTGTAGAGCCATCCCGATACATGCCACCTCTAGCCCAGCTGGCAGGGGTTGATCCTAGTGCTTCCCCTTGCCACACCAGTTCATTTTACAGACTAGTAAAATTCTCTCTCTTTTCTGGGAAGCCCACAAAGGTCTAACAACACTTAGGGGAGTATATTTATTGTGCTTTTCTCTAGGAAACTGGATCTAAAGTGAGCCTCTTCCATTTTACTGCTTTTCCAATTTCTGCAGTTAAACTGGGAAAAGTCCATCTGAGTGTTTCTTACAGACTGCCAGTGCCCCTGGCCTCCAGTGCCTGGAAGGAACTGTCTCCTGCTGTGGGCTGGGTGAATCACACCACGATAAAAACTGCTACTCACCAGGGATGCCAGGCACTCCTGCACCACCGCCCTTCTCTGACACCCTTGCAGCCCCCATCCCTCACCATCGCTGCTGTGAGGATAGCAGATAGCTGACCTGACAAACAAAGCCCAAGACTCTCTTTCCATATGCCCCCTCAGGCGTTTTGCTGGGTATAAGCTCCCTTGTTCCAAAAGCCAGCTTCCTTTGGGACACAAAGGGGTTTCGCTGCCTATCACACACCAACATGCAGAGAAGGGAGCTCGTAGCTGCTTGCTCCATAGCTGCATGAGAAGGAAAAGCTGGCAGCTAAATGCAGCTGGAAGATGTAAGGCTGCAATCGCGGGGACCACACATCTGGAAAGTTTCTTTTCCTTCATAAAGGCCAAAGATAATACAACAACGAGCTTTCTTCTCCAGTGACACTGGGACAGGCCCTGGCCTCCCAGGGCATGAGCGTTTCTCAGACAACCCAGGGCAGGGGTGGGATGTGGGGATGAGGGGGCACATGGCTTCAGCCTTAGGACCACACTGTTGCCTGAAGCAATTACACAAGGCATTGGCACGAGACATCCCTCTGAGACAGCAGGAGAGCCTGTTTTCGACTATAATGTTTGGGAGGTCAATTAGAGCAGTGAAGGAGGCTATGCCTCAGCTGTAATGTCTACCTCCTCTAAGGAGAATAAGGTTGCTGGTTTTGCCAGGAAAAAAGATGGGTCAATTTTCTGCTCTTCCTTGTGAAGCACTTCAAGAACGTGGTGTCTCATGCTCTATTTTAGACTGCCTTCCTCCAGTCATGAGGTTGAGGCACTGTCCTTAACCCTGCACCTCCAATCTGTGCTAAAACACTGTTTCAGCCCAATGCACAGTTTCATGCCAGTAGGCAGAGTTCAATCTGCTGCTGCTGGGAGGTTGCTGAGCACTTGCAAGACAGGGTACCACAAGAGAGGGTCCTGGGGTAACCGAGGCTGCTCCCCTTTGAACATGGGTCTGAGGAGCTCTGCAAAGCTAGTGTAGCACCAGTCTTCACTTGTCCTACCTTGTCAAGGATGTCATCTGTCCAGACCCTGAGACAGGGACTGAGCTACAAAATCATATTTTAATCTATCCACAACTATGCCGAAATGAGGAGGGAAACCAGTGCAGGGATGTTCCCAGCCCAGCCACTGCCCTGCAAATGCCCCAAGGGAGCTGCAGACAGATTGACACTTCTTGCCAGAGGAAAGAAGAAACCTTTGAGGTCCTTCCCCATAGCTCTTCTGGTGTAGGTGATTGCTCAGAAATGAAAACCTCAGGGAAGGACCTGTGTTTCCTGGTCAGAAACTGACTGTGATGGTGGAAAAATAATCACCGAGTATATCCCAAGATCTAGACCTGCTGTGCTCAAGCTTCTTGTTCCTGCTGCAGTCATGTTCACACTTAGCAGTCAAAACAGGAAAATATCAAGGGTCCAATTTTCTAAATACTGGGAAATAAAAATACTAATTATTTCAAGAGGTAGGGACCACTCCACTTGTATGCAGGTTTCGGAGCACAATTTCTGTATCATGGGAGAACAGCACCACAAACATCCTCCCACAGTTGCTCCCTGCCCCTCACTGCTGGCGGATTGAGGGCATACAAGTGATCTGCTTCACGCTGATGAAATGGTTGAATGATGGCTGGGGGGGCTCCAGCAATTTGCATCTCTCTAGAGGCAGGGAAGGCAATTTCAGCACTTCGTCAGGCCTTGCCTAGCTTCTTGAGTAGCGTGGTGGCACAGGTTAGGATAGTTTGTACCTCAGTCAGCATCTCTGTCTAATGAGGCTTAGGGAACAAGGACGAGGGATGGACTCCACAGGCACTGCCTGAGGCCCCTCCAGCATTTCTCAGCTCTTTTCTGAATATAGGAATGAGAACTAGAGAACAGTAAATGCCCAGGATACCAATCAGACCAAGGACTACAGCAAGTTTCTCAAAGGAATATTTTGGTTATGGTGCTATTGAACCAGGAGCTGGGTGACATGGGGACTGATGGCTAGTGTAGGACATGTCTTTGCTGTGTAGATGGGACTCGGAGCTCCTGACAGCCATGGCTTCACATCCTACCCCCGCAGGGCAGAGAGGGATTGCAGCCACGTTTCCTGCAGCTTGAAACTTGCTGGGGTGGGAGAAGACAAGTCTGGTTTCCATAGCTCACAGGGACCACCCCTGGGACTACCTAAGAGGAAATGCTGGGGTAGGGTTAATAAAGCACCAAATCTGGTGAGGACCATCATCTCCTACAAGCTGTCCTTGGACCAACCAGCTCTCATTACCCAGCCCACCAGCATCCACATGCAGGGGCATCACTGGTACACCACAGGTCTACAACAAGCCACACTGAGGCTGCGGAGCGGCTCTGCAGCACCTCCCGTGCCCTCCTTCACACGTACCTCAGGAACTTGTTCAGGTCCCCGTGCTTCATGTACTCGAAGACCATGATGAGGGGGTCGCCGTCACCACACACGCCGTAAAACTTGACAATGTGCTCGTGCTGCAGGTTGGTGAGCAGCTCTGCCTCCCTCTGGAAATCCTTGCGGGCTGCCAAGGTGGGGTCTTTCAGCGCCTGAAAGAAGGGGCACAGATACGCACAGGGTGGGCTCAGGCAGGGGCAAAGCCAGAACTAACGGGTCGCCGTATCACAGAGGAGCTGATGAGGAAGGGAGGGGAGAGGAACCGCTGCTGCCAGCCTGGTTGCACTGGGAGGGCTGGCAGTAGGTGCCAGTAGCACCACCACGGCGTTTCGTTCATGTAGTTACCGGCCCAGCAGGTTCCCCAACTCATTTCCCATGCAGCAGCAAACATACCTCAGAGGGCAATAGCTTCCAATTATTCCCAGCTTGGGCAGGATTTGTACTGGTGACCTAGGGGTGAATGGCTTCATATCTCATTATTATTAAATTCCTGAGCCAGCCAGTCTTTGATATCTGTCTTTTATTTTGAAATAGCTGACTACACTGCCTTTATTCAGAAGATGGATTTGCCTGGCTGTGCAGTTATTGTGTGGATTTTTCAAACTGCTTCTGAAGAAGGACACTGTTAAGTCTTTTTTCATAATTTTTAAAATCATGTTTTTATTCCCTACTGTTTATAATAGCTCCCCTGGCAGACTGATGCTGAAATCGGTATCCTTATTGAGGATATCTCATCTTCCACATTTGAGCGCACCACTTTGCCATTGCAGGGTAGCTTGCAGGCTCCAGGCTGTGTGAACCAGCCTGACATCGCAGGGTTGCTATGAAGATGTTGCTGTGGGTGCAGCCGGTGATCGGGGAGGGTTCCCCAGGGTTGGAGGCCACTTGTTCGTGCATTATCGTGCAGTTGCATCGAAGAGCTAGTTTGAAAGCAGCATGTTATCATCCCAGGGTATCAAGGGAGGGCTCTTCCATGAGCACTTAGTGAAAAAGTTGAAGTCCAGAATATTTGACAAGATGGGATGGCCACGAGAATCAGCAGGGTCTTTGCAAACATTTAAGGAAATGAAGAGGCAATTCTGGTTTTGAGTTGCTGCGTCTCAGTAATATTCTCCCCATCCTCCACATGTCAGGCCAGGACTGTTTAATACCAGTGCTGGCTTTAACTGTGCAGCCTAATGGGAGTTGAAAAGGATTCAAAGCAACTTGTTTTAGTTACCCCCAGATTCAATCCGATGTGCACCGGATCCCCCTCAGTGGTGGGGAACATAGGTAGCTCTCCCACAAATACGCCTGCCCCCTTTTCCCCATACCTTGAATCTCCCCGTGCTGACAGGAGAGGTGGCGTCAGCAGGTGCAGACTCCAATTTACGTGCAAAAAGGGATGTTAAGCATCAGAAAGGGGTCGAAGATGCTGCTCTTGCACCTCCGGCTGGTCCATGGCACTGCTGGGTGCAATGCCATGTGCAGCGGAGCAGTGAGTCCTCCAGAGGAGCTGCTTTTCCCCTTGGAGCAGATCTCCTGCGAGGTTTTTACCCAAGCCTTAGGACACTGCCTCATCTCCTTCTTCTGCCCCCAAACTGCTAGTCACATGGCATAATTTTAATTCTATGTCCTCTGGGATAGCTTGACTAGAGATATTTAGATGGATGTTACACTGTGCAGATGGCAAAGCATCCATCCTTATCTCAGGCACCCAATTACTTTTAGCCATTTAAGATCTTCATAATGTTGACGCTACCCTATTTTTCCCCAGGAAAACAGTCCCCCTCCCCCATCACTCTTTTCTCCTCCTTTTTCCTCTAGTTGCATATAATATTTCAAGCTGCAGTGAGCTTAGGCTTCCCTTTCTTCACTCGCAATCATTTCTACAAGGTGTTAGGACTGTAACTGTGTAAATATCACACACCAAAAAAAAAAGATATTAAAAATACCACATTACTAAGGTTGCACAACCAAGCATTTAGAAATAAGGGAAACAGGAGCTGGAAGTGGTGGAACAGGGAAAGAAGACCAGGACCGGAGGAAGAGAAGGGACGTCTCAGCAAAACCACTGAAATGCCTCTCCTAGGAAGGTTTGGGGTGGATTTTATTTGTGCCTCCATCACACAATTTCTATGTGACATCTGGCAAGTCACTCAGCATCTGCAGGTTGCAGCTGTTGTCACGAAGTGTCAGTTGTTCCAATATTACCTGGAAAATCCCCTCTCACGTGGCATCAGGGCCAGGTCTGCTCAAGCTCCGCATGTTCACTGCAGCAGCAGAGGTCAATGTGGGTCTGGTACCTGCTGTCCATGGGGCTGGAAAGGCAGGTTAGTAACTCCATCCTCCACCTAAGCGGATCCTTTCAGCTCAGTTTCCTCGCTTATCCATCTGCCCTCTGCAAAATGGGGATGATACAACTCCAGCACCTCACTGGGAGGCTGTAAAAATGAGCGCACTCACATCTAGGGAGCCCTCAGACACAGGAGTGAGCATCACAGTGAAGCAGTCCAGAGGGAAATGAAAAATACGTGTTCGGAGGACGTGCCCTGAATACCAGCCCCTCCAGCATTTCTACTACCTGACTTTGTAACCTCAACACTCTTCACTGAATATAGTTTTTGTGCATTTCTTGGGATGTTTTTAGAAGCAAGCTGAATAAAACAGGAAGCTTGTCCATGCCATCACATCAAAACTCAGCGCATCTGCGGGGCTGCAACCTTTAGATCCGCTGAAAATCTGAGTCCATATAACCGAGTAACACAGCCACTTTCTTTGGCCCTGGGAGGGAGTCCCTGAGAGCGCAGCAGAAGCAGACTCTGGGCTGTGGACTCAGCTGCCCTAACCAGCGCGTCCTGCTGCTGCCCTGAGCTGCAGTGACCGGGGAGGTAGCTCTCAGCCTCTGTCAGGAGCATGAGATCTTCGGGAAATGCAGCCAAATCTCAATTTAATATGTAAAGTCTTTTTTTCTTGCCTTTTTTTTTTCCCCTGAGACTTATAACATGGCCCAAATTAGAGGGCTTTTTCCCTGCCCCCTCCTCCCCCCTGAGCTGGCAAAAAGGCAGATTTCAAGGCCCTGCTCTAAAGCGGGATCTGTATGATCTTGCAGGATGAAAGGCGCTCTGGAGATGTAAGCTCATAGTAGCAATTAACAGAAACAAGTTCGGATGCTGCTTTTGCCTACGTGCAAACGAAACTCAGCAGAGACTTGAGAGACAGGATCGCATAAGGGATGGCTGACACTGACAGGCAGGTACCAACCATAGAATCAGGCAATTAATCATATGGGTAGTTGTGCTACCTCGGCTTTAACCACTCTCAGAGGTGAAAGGTGCAATCTTGCAGTTCACGGTCAGAGCATAAGAGGACAAAAAAAGGCTTGAACTGCCAATGATTAAAACAACTCTCAAGTAACTGGATGCCTCCAGCATCCTGGAGAGAGTGCTGGAACCTTTCTCCCTGTAGAGCATCAGTTCAAGTGCAGATTGACTTCTTCCAAGCAGTTAGGAGGCATCAATTAACTCCCGGGGATTAGACTACCTGTGTCTGCCAACTGGTGCCACTTGAGAGGAGAGCACATTTCTGCACTGAGTGGTCTCCTCTGCCCAGAGCCACACTGATGGGGCACAGCTCACATGAGGACCTCACAAGGATGCAAAACAGCACAGCACAAGCCAAGCTGAACTTGTGTTGGCTCAAAATCACCAAAACAGGAGCGATCTGTGGCTAGGCAAGCAGAAGCTGGGTTGCTTCGCTCCTCTTGCAGCAAATTGATCCCACTAAATTGGTTTGTCGTGCTTAGTTTTTAAGTGCTCGTTTTTGCCGAGGCCTTTTTCTGTTTCAGCTTCTGCATGTTCCACAAAGAGAGAAAATCCGGAAAGATAAGAGCCCTGCTCCTTTGCGGAGGGAAGGTGGACTCCACACCGCGCTGCTGCAGCTGCATGGGAGCTTACAGCTTCCAGACCAACTTCTCATCCCCGTCTGTCTCCTGGCCATTTTTTTTTTTGGCATTGGCGAGAATAGACGACCTTGAAGCTAAACACTGAAACTTTGTGTGACTAAGTGGATTTACCACAATCTCCGGCATCAGATAAACCTCCGCCTCTGGCCCCCAGCCCCCCCGCTTCCCTTTCCCACGCAGGCTCATCCAACCTCGCTCCACCGGCCAGCCCCTGCCCTACTCTCTGCCATTCGCCCTTGGGATTTACCTTCACTGCCACCAGCATTTTGTCGTTGGTGGGGCTGAGGTTGTAACACTCGGCCAAGAACACCTTCCCAAAGGCACCTTCTCCCAGCTCCCTCTTCAAAACGATGTCTCTTCTCTTAATATGCTGGACATCTGTTGGAAGGAGGGGAGGAAGAGGGAGAGGGTTGAGGGAAGAATGAATTAGGGTTAATTCAGGGAATGGAAAACAACTAATTCAATTTTCTAGCAAGCTGCAAAGGATCTGAAATTGCTTTGCAAAAACATCTACAGGGATCTTTTTACCCACCCGTGGAACGCAGCCATCTCTGGGATGGAGCTAGTCTCATGCAAAACATCTGCGAGGAAAGTACTTGAGGTTTATCACGTTTTCACTGTAAGCTCGCAGCAGGCTTGTCCTCAGGGAGAGAATCCTTTGGGGCAAAATCTGCTACAAAGACCTGAATCTCTTTGGAATGTTCCTGGAAATAATTCATCTCCTGCGAGGCATAGCAAAGGTCACATACTTCCGATGCCAGGCCAGGCAAGATTAGAAGGTCCTGTTGAGTTTTGCATTTCAATCAGATTCAGTTTAAACCCAAACTCGGGCAGATTTTTGAGGCTGAGCCTTGGCAAGCCAAAGCATTCCCAAGGGGAGGAGGACCACTGACCCCCATGCACCTTAGGGCACGAGCAGGAGCCAAGCACTGCCCTGCAGCAAGACCCTGACCATGCAGCCATCTCCTACATGACTGTTCCCTCAGACACAAGGTCATCCCAGGATAAAGTTACTGGCACAACAAGCAAACTCAACCCATTAGTTTCAATGATCCCTTGCACTAACATTTAGGACGGCGAGGACTCACAGAGAATAGCAACCGAGGTTTCAGGAAGAATCAAAAGAGCAATAGCTATTCATTTAACAAAGGTACAGAGGCCTATGAAGATTGGTCTGCTCAGCTAACAGGGTCATTCATAAGGGCTAGATCTACCCACGTACTAGGCACCTTCAAGGGTAGATAAGTGACTAGCAGGATCTCCAGAAATGATGGGTCATGATTAGATGCCACTGGTTGCTGGGAGAGCCTGGGGGTCTCCGTAGTCTCTTTTGGGAATGACACTAAGGCACAGCTACTTGCTGCCAAACCTCTAAGCACCTTTCTGGCATCACAGTACCCATACAGCTCCTCTGGCAATACAAAGAGGATTTTTTTAATGCCTGGAATGAAACAGCTAGAGATGCACAGCCACCATAGCATTTTCTGGAGGCACAGCACCCAAAACTTCGTCTCTCTAAACTGCCCTTCACTGGAGCTTACTGCTTCCCTCAAGAACTGTGGCAGCACAGACTATGCTCAGCTTCAGCCTGGTGGTCATGGCAGGGTAGTAAGAGCTACACACTCTTCTCCAGTGCTTGGTGAGGAAAAGCTGATGCATTAGAGGTCTCCTCAAGCAGAGGCATTAGACGGGACAGTGCCCTCCTTCCGCTCCTACCCTGGGGCATTCGTAACTTGGCCTTGCATCTGCTTGCTCACAAACTGGACTGCTTTTGAGTCTTTTCCACCTCTTCCATGTGCCACAGGAGCTGTACAAGCATGCACCCCTTAGCTCAGATACATCTCCCTTGGGGCACTGCAGATGTAGGAGGTGGAGGGACTAACACTGGGTTCCAAACTGGCTGCAGGGAAGTGTCATTAACAGCGATCACAATTTGCCACCAGCTCCTACCACCTAGGTGCCCAAATAGGCACCCACATCGACCTGAGGGAACATATGCCCCACAACAACATGGGTACCACTTAATGCATCAAAAAGCCAATGATTGGAAGACTAACATCCTTACGGCTTTCATACAATTAATCTTTTTAATTAGGAGCTCACAGGCAGGTTTAAGGAGCTGCCATCTCTGGTCCTTTTGCTTGTTTGGGAAGATGGATGCTGCGAGATTGCCTAAGCAATGGGCCTTGTAATGAGCGACACCTCTATAGAGAATTCCTGTTGACCTTTTCATTAATTGTTCAATAGACTGAAAACTGTTAGTTACCAATATTAATAATATTAGTAACGTTAAGGCACAGGATGGTAGGCACATCCAAAATTACTTTGGTTTTAAATCTGCAGTGACAGCCAGGGAGAACAAATCACATGTGGATTTTGCCTTCTCCACCTGGTTTAGTTGAGTGTTTAAGGAGTACCTTGAGAAATCTGAAATATTATGTGTTGAAATGTTAAGTCATGCACTTGGGTGAGGAAAGTCCTAATCTAAGAAAAGCTCAAATGGCACCAGTTTACTTAATAGAGGAAAAGGGGTTTTTTTCCTCTTTCTCTTGGCAAGCATTTCTATAGCACTCATCACTACAGTACCTAGGATTTGCCGTATTGACAAACCATGTATTTGCATTCTTCGACTCCTGAATAGCAGCAGTCAAGAAAGCTGTGGGGAAATGATCTTCTATTAAAAGGAGCCCAAGGATACTTTAAAAAACTCATAATCCCCACAGAAATGTAGCAATTGCAATCCTACTGCCCCATTTGATGTGAGATAAAGTTAAAAAGGAAACTGCCTCAGAATAACCAGCTATTTGAGATTATTTACACTTCTGATGAGTAAATGGTAAGATCATGAGAACTGAAGCAAACCTCTCTTTCTGAACTCCCCAAGGTCTTGCCCAAAATTTTCAGCTCCCAATTTTTCCTCCCAACAACATCTTAATAAACGATCAGATGTTTCGGAGAGCCAGCATCCAGACCGTGTAATTATGTCTACATTATTAAAATAATACCACATCTGTCTTCAAGACCAGATTTCGCAGCAAGTTGTTAGGGTCACCTGAGAAGCTTCAGGGAAAATTTGTATGAAGAATTTAAGGAGATATGGTGGCAGACGGAATTGAACTGAGGGAGGAGCAATCCTTTTGAAGTAGTAGACTCACATAGCACTGCTGGATTTAAAGTAAACTTGGATGGTTATAAAAAAAACAGGGTTCATGAAGTTAAGCAGTTTGACAGCAACTGGACAATCTTAATGTAGAGTCAGAAAAGTACTTTTGCTGATCACAATTTCTCTCAACCTCAAATGGCCATAAATTTTGCTTCACAGTATTTTAGGCACAAATGGAATAGTAAGTGAGTTATAATAAATTGCTTTTTCACATGCTATAGGCTTAAAATACTGAAATTTACATCAAATTCTTCCATTCACGGTGAGATCAGCACGATGATTAATTCTACATTATTATTAAATATGGGCTTTAAACACAAAGCAATGACAAACCTGCCCTGGCACTGTGCAAATGGCTGTGTTATTGTGCTAACCTTGCATCTCTTTGCTTGTCTGTCCTGGCTGTAACTCATAAGGAAGGCCGAGTAGCCATGAAAGACGCTGTGCTGCAAGGGCACCTGGGAGGTTCATCTGCATAAATCTGTTTACCTCCTCCTGGAGAAAGCTGAGCCCTGTCTGATAAACAGCTGGTGTTTATTTGTTTTAGGCAGGCAGTGGTGTGCTAATCTGTCTCGGCTGTGTTGCAGTCAGCCCTGCCGACAAGGTCTATGCAAACTCTCTTCCCGTAAGTACCACTCTTTTTTTTTTCTCCCCCCTGTACCATTAACTTATAAAAACAAGGCAACAAGACAATTCAAAAGAAGAATCTAGGCAGGAGCCACAGTAAGGCCTGACAGGAAAATAACCAGACTTGACAGCATGATGGGAAGTCATTCAAGGCCGTGCTGTATCTACAGGAAGGATGTGAGCGCACAACACTGAAGTAATTCCAGTTTTAAATGAAACATCTTGCAGTCCTTGTTTTGGGATTACTATGTTGCTGCATGACACAGAAGGAGAGTTGGGTAGATACCCCACCTTCCTTCTCGTCCGTCGAGATTTAACATATGGAGAATGTGTTTCAAGCTCTTGCCTTCACTGTTGTTCTGAATAACACATGAACCACATCAGAAAACACTTGACCTGCAGGTGGTTGGAAATGCCTCACGACTTCAGTCCAGTGATGGTAACGTGTGGGTAAGCAAGAGTATTAGCAAGAGAGTAAGTCTGGGACACTGCACTCACCTTTACAAATTGCCTCCAGATCAGAAAGCTTTCCTTTTCTCTGGAAGAGTGAAGGCAGAAGAGTTGCGGCTTTGGGTCTGTGATGGGATCTTACCTAACCTCCTCTGAACCTTTTGCAGGATGGCTGACTTGATCTGTGCTTAAAGTGCACTCAGTCAGAAAAGTGGCTGTCTAAAAACAGGAACTTCTTCCTCCCCGTATTTGCTCCCATGTGTCTCTTAATCATGTCTGCTTCTCTTCTCGACACAAACATATTCTAGTTTGCTAACCTTGTGAACCAGCACAGCCATGGGATATAGGGGAAGAAGAAGAGGGAACAAGATTAATTCTGCTTTTCTCATACATCAATCTACCATATTTTAATGGGTCACTTCTGCACTGGCTCCTGGGATGGAGCTTGGAAAAGCCAGAACTTTTTAGTTTAAATCACTGATTCAATGAATCTTCACCCATCTTTTACACTCATATTGCAGAATCTCTCTTCCTTGTGACAAGGTCAAGGCAAAAAGACCCCAACTCAACCTCCAAATCCCCAGTAGAGCATACAGAGCTGGTAACAGACTGCGTGCGATGAAAACACCCTTTTTCTGATAATCACCACATTTCAATCACATGAGCAGAAATCGGGAAGTTGCATGGCTACATTTAATGAATCTAATTTTCCAATTATTATCTCATTTCCAAATCAGTCCTGGGGGTCAGGTGAGGAAGAGGTGGGCTCAATGACACTGCAAATTCTGCATTTCAGATTCCCGTCACAGCCAGCATCCTTAAAACCCTGGTTTGATAATACTCTTGAAGCCTGGATGCACATGATGAAGTGTTTGGGCACAGATGACTACAGTGGGAGGTAAATGGACAAATCAAACTCCAAACAGAGTAAATCACGAGCAGTGCCAATACTTAAGTTACAGTTAAATGCAAAACTACTTCTTAAGCTGAATCATTTACACCAAGTCTGAAATTAATTTCTCAATCTCCTTCTTTCAAACTCCTGAACAGCGGTCTACCTGGTTGCTGTATTTCTAGTGGGTTTCCTGTCCTTGGACTCTTACTTCACGAACAACATGTAGCTCACTGGCGAAACAGA